GGAAAACGAATGTGGTGGCGGATGCCCTCAGTCGCCGACCTATTGGTAGTCTTTCTACTCTGTTCGCTACTAAGTGGAATGCTTTGAGGACAATGGATGAGTTGTCAGATACTTTCATGGCTTGTATGGTAGTTACACCTTCTATCATTCACAAGGTTTTGAAGGTACAACTCACGGATCAGCAGTGCATTGACAAGGTTGCAGAGATAGCTTCCGAAGAGGTTCCATTCTACTATGTTGGAGCTGATGGAGGTTTGAGGTACAAGGGACGGTTAGTGGCACCTTCTGCTGATGATTTGAAGAAGGATGTGATGACTAAGACTCACCACTCTGAGTTCTCTGTTCATCCAAGCGAAGACAAGATGTATCAGGATATGAAGCGGCAGTTTTGGTGGGCAGGTATAAAGAGGGACATTGTTCAGTTTGTTTCTCAGTGTAGTACTTGTCAAATGGTTAAGATTAATCATCAGAGGCCGCCAGGAGCTCTACAACCACTACCGATGCCGGAGTGGAAATGGAGAGCATTTCTATGGACTTTATGGAAGGGTTGCCAAATTCCTCAAGGATCACAATTCCATTTGGGTTATTGTGGATAAACTGACAAAATCAGCTCACTTCTTGCCTATTCACACTGACTTCACTTCGGAGCAGTTGGCGAGGCTTTACATTTCAGAGATTGTGAAGTTACATGGCATTCCATTTTCTATCATATCGGACAGGGATTTAAGCTTTGTATCAGGATTCTGGAAGAGTTTTCAGCAGGCTTTGGGTACAAAGTTGCACTTTAGTACTGCTTATCATCCTTAGACTGATGGACAGACTGAGCGGGTGAATGAAATTATAGAGGATATACTTCGGTTGTGTGTTCTTGATTTTAAGGGCTACTGGGAGGATTATTTGCCACTTGTGGAGTTTGCTTATAATAATAGTTTACAAAAAAACTATTGTGATGGCACCATTTGAGGCGTTATATGGCCGACCGTGTTCGATTGCCTGTTTGTTGGATGGAGGTTGGTGAGAGCCGATTCTTGGGTCCTGAGTTCATTAAGGATACTTCTGAGAAGATAGCTCTTATTAAGGATCGCATACGTACTGCTCAAAGTAGGCAGAAGAGTTATGCTGACCGGCGTACTCGTGCTTTGGAGTTTAATGTTGGAGATCAGGTTCTACTCAAAGTGTCACCTATGAAAGGTGTCATGCGCTTTGGGAAGAAAAGGAAGTTGTCACCGCGGTTTGTCGGTCCATTCATGATTACGGATCGTGTTGGAGCTGTTGCTTATAGGTTGGCACTTCCGGATAACTTGGACCGCGTCCACAATGTATTCTATGTTTCCATGTTGCAGAAATTTCTGCGAGAAGAAGATCGGTATCAGCATATCGATGTTGGGGAGATTGAGTTGCAGCCGGATGCAACTTATTTGGAGCTACCGTGTCGTATTGTCGACCAACGGGATCAAATCCTTCGCAACAAGGTTATTCCATTAGTTCGTGTTCAGTGGAGTCACTACAATGAGGCTGAGTCCACTTGGGAACGGGAGGATGGCATTCGTTCGCAGTTTCCTGATATTTTGGAAGAAGGTAAGAGCGAATTCCGAGGACGGAATTCCTTTTGTTAGGGGGGAAAATGTAATACCCCTAATTTTACAAAGGATAGTCTTGGAATTTCATTCGTTATTTACTTAAAATTTTTAAATGATTAATTGTTATTTTCCTGACTTCCTTGATGTATTTGCCCTAATTGTGATTATTTGTTTTAATTTGAATTATTTAGTATCATTTGAATTAATTGTATTAATTGTTTAAGTTGATATTTAATTGTGGCTTTATTTAATTGTATTTCATTATTTGTTTTGCATTAACGTGTCTGTTTAGTGTTGCACACATATAGTTAAATTAGGTTTACAGTTTTCAGTTCAGCCGGCATTGGATTATAACCTAGGTTTTATGGGCCGAGTGAATTGTATTAGGGTTTAATTGAGCCTAGGGTTAGAGTGGTTTATAAATACTCATCTAAGGGGTCTGTTTAGGGTTTTAGAATACCATTACGACACAATAAGGTTGTGAGAAGTTTTAGAGACGGCTGGGAGGAAACAGAGAGATAAACTAAGGTTTTGCCGGAGAATTTAGACGGGGAAAGGCTAAAGGCAAATTCTAACTTCATCTCTTTCCCTTTTACTCGTGTTCTTTGCGTGCCAAAGTAGTTCCAAGAAATCAATAAACGGAATAAAATTGACTCTGCATGTTTAGAACTCATATTAACAGTATGTGCTGAAACTTGTTGTAAATTGGTTTTTTTGTGTCCAACTGTGTATTTGTTCTTTTAAATTATTTTTAATCAATGTAGGAGGGAGGTAGAAGGGTTTTCTCTGGGTAGGTTTGAACATAAACAAAGGTGTTAGAAGCTGTAACAGAGAGGGACGGAAGTAATGCAGGCAAACGGAGAGGAAACAAACGAACAGAGGAGAGAGAAAAGTGGAGGCGGCTCCAAAGGACCATGGAGCCGGCTCTACATGGTGTGGAGCCAAATCTACCATGGTCTGGAGCCAGCTCAAGCATAGGTGGAGGCGGCTCCACCTTGTGAGAGCCTGCTCTCCTCGTGTGTTTCTAGTTTTGTGAGTTTTTGAGAGTTCTGGGACTGGTTTTGGTATGACAGAGGTGTTTAAGAGCTGTGGATAGGACTTGGGGTTGATGAATGAGATTAATTTAAGTCTTCAAAGGGCTTATTAATGCATATTCAACCAATTAGTGTTGTGGTTTGGAACAGTATAGAAATTCTAAGCAAACTAGTAAACTGTTTTGGAGACTTAGGAACTAAACCACACAATCTTAGTTGTAGCAGTTTAATTGGGAATGGAGTTAGGCTCTATTCGTGTTTCTATGATGGACTGCAAGCATGTGGGACTATAGAATAAATTACATGCCTATAATAGACGGAAGGTGTGCACTTACATTAACTGTGTTGTTCACACCTAAACAACGGTGGAGTAGCATAGGATAAGTATGTAAGTTGGTAAAACAAATCTGTTATGCTTACTTGGATTTATTTAAAGGTTAGATATATATGATTTATATTAAAAATCATGAACTGGGTGAAGTAGTGATAAATAAGCTTGTTAAATAACAAAGTTTTAGCATGCATAATGTGAAGCAGTTGATATTTACAGGTGAGTGATTGACTATGGATTGTTGGATATACTATAGTTGATAATTACATTTATTATTTGTATGGTCAACTGTGAATGTTGGATTATTGCGGGATAGATTATATAGTTGGTAATTACATTTATTTCTTGTGTTATCAACTGTGGATGATGGATTACATGCACCGGTATGGGACGGTGGCATGCCTAGGTTTGGATTAGTTTCAAAATACTAAATCCTACCTACACGGAATAAGGGAATGGATATTAAAATAAATCCTACTTATAGTGGAGTCAAAGAAACTGCATAAGCTGAATGACTACTCGGATTACTCGTAAGTTATGTTAAGTCAAAGCAGCTGCACAAGCTGAATGACAAACTGAACTTTTTGTGGATAGGACGGACTTTAGATATATGTTATGGTACTGCGATCTGAGCTTAAGTCTCAGAGTCATCGGTTAGGGAGCGTATATGCAATTTGCTCCAGATTCTCACAAAGACTTAGTTTGACTCCAAAAAGGTCTAATAGTCAAGGTTCTTCACCAGCTAGGAAGGGTCGCAAACGTCATCAAACACTCTCCGGTGGTTCTTCAGTGGCTCAGCCAAATGGGGATAAAAGGCGTAATGGACTGGCGGGGGGTGTTATGAGCCAGATGGCTTTGTTGAGTCCTCCTGGTAGTTTAGCTGGTGTTAACTCAGCTTCTTCAAGCGGCTTGGGAGCACAGTTGACGGACTCTTTCAATTTTGATTCCTCCCAATCATTCGCAACAAAAATTGCCATGCTGGTGGGTGCTAAACGGTCTCTTACTCCAAAAACTGCTTAAGCTTTGGTTCTCATGACGGTGGTCATATCTTAGCTTTTGCATGGGTTTCTTTGGAGTCAGCTGGTTTTTAAGTTTGTGGTTCATTTGTGATGTTGTTTCGCTTTGTTTGCTTCTTGTTGTTCTTGTAATGGCCTGTTAGCTCTTTCTTGTCGGGACAAAAAATAATAATAATAATAATAATAAAATAAAAATAAAAATAAAACTTAATCTTGCATAGAGATAGAGATGGCTAATCTAATAAATTTAGAAAAAAAATAAAATAAAATAAAATTTGTGGCATTGTGATATCGGAGGAAACTAATAAATAAAAGTTGCATACTGTGCTAATAATCTAAAGGAATCAACGATGAGTTTGAAGGTGTTTGAGTAAAAGTCAGAATCTCCCAACCTATTTTTTTTTTTTTTTCTAATCCTTCGATAAAAAATTCATTCTTTCTAAATTTTTGTGTTTTTTTTGATCCTTCGATAAAAAATTAATTCTCTCTAAATTTTTGTTCATCTCTCGCCGTAATAATATCTCGGGTTTACCGTAATAACTTGGTATATCTACTGATGGATGTATAATTTAAATATCCATAATTAAGGGAAGATTGCTAAATTAACGCACTATTGAGATAGGCTCTGCAGATTACGATAAGGATTACAGATTGAGATAGGCTTTACAGATTACGATAAGGATTAAAGATTGTGATAAGGATTAAAGATTACGATGAGGATTAAGTCTACAGATTACAATAAGGTAATTCTACGTGACATCTTAACCTAAGCCCTATAAAAAAAGGCGGGGTAATCAACGTTTGGGGGTACGCAATAAACCCTAACTCAATTTCTTGATTTCTTTGAAGAGATTACTCCTTCCACTGACTTGTTCGTCGGAGCCTACTCCACCGGTAACACACCAGTGTTTGTAGGATCACTTTTTTCTTCTCTCTGTTCAGGAAGTCGGATTGGATCAGATCAGATCCGGGTTGCGCAGAATCCATCCTCAATAGTTGGCGCCGTCTGTGGAAAATTATTTTGTTCTCTAAATAAAGCATGGTTCGATTGCGATCTGGTCTGGCTGCTGGCGAGGACGAAGGGTTGCAGGCTTCTGATGCAGGGACTTCAACGGGGCAACCCCCCCGTCGTCCCAAACGATCAGGTTCGCATCGCAGCGTTGGAACAACTGGTGAACCAGTTAGTCCAGCAAAATGCAATAATTCTGCAACGCTTAGCCGCCCCCAACGAGGAGAGAAACAGTGAAGTACCCAACAATGACTCCCATAGGGTTAACAACGACGTTGAGCTTAGTCAAATAGGGCATCAACAGAGGAGCCATCACCATCGGTCTCCTAAACGGAATACAACCAGGCTGACAGATCGTCTCGCCGCCCAGTGAGCCCAGGCAGGTATAATAACTATACCCCCCTAAATACATCTGTAGAGCAAGTCTTTCTGCAGATTCAAGATGACGCATCATTAAAATGGCCGCCAAAGCTAAAAACTGATCCAACAAAGAGGTCTCGAGATAAATACTGTAGGTTTCACCGGGATCATGGACATAACACAGAAGATTGTTTCGACCTCAAAAACCAGATTGAGAACCTTGTTCGTAAAGGTCATTTACGTAAATTCACAACTATAAATGGAAAAGGAGGCTCCAACCCAGCCTGGGAGGGCGGAGATGATCGCCCTCCTCAACACCAACCAATAGGTGAGATCAAAGTTATATCGGGTGGCTTCAATGGTGGTGGTGAGACAAGTTCGGCTCGGAGGGCTCATGCTAGGAGAATTCGGAGTTTTTCAGAGGTGAATGAAGTTGGAATGACAAGTCCTCCAACAAAATTACCTCGAGTTGAGGAGCCGGTCATAACCTTTTCTGAAGAAGATGACAAGGGAATTCACCAGCCCCATGATGACCCTCTGGTAGTTTCCATGGTCGTTGCTAATTTCACTGTTCGACGAATACTGATAGACAATGGTAGCTCGGCTGACATACTATTTCTTAGGGCGTACGAGAAATTGAAAATTGGCTGAGAGAAGCTCCGACCCATGAAGTCACCACTGGTGGGATTTTCAGGCGACAAAGTATATCCACTGGGGGCAGTTACCCTTCCAGTTACTGCAAGAGCCAATCCAAAGCAGGTCACTGTAATGGTGGACTTTGTAGTGGTGGACTGCCCATCATCATATAATATTATCCTGGGGAGGACAACATTGAATGCCATGAAAGCAATCACGTCCACTTACCATCTCCTGATGCATTTCCTAACTGAATATGGTATGGGAGAGCTAAGAGGGCACCAAATAATAGCTCGCGAATGTTATGTCGCCTCTCTCAGAAAAACAAAATCGCAAGAGGTATTTACGATTGAAGGGCTGGAAGGAAAAAATAGACCAGACTTTCATAGAGCGGAACCTACAGAGAAGCTAGAAGAGGTCATCCTTGGTGATGGTGAGCCTGAGAAAAAAGTGAGTATAGGGTCTTTACTCCCCCCAGGTATCAAAGATGAACTTACTCAATTCCTCAGGAAAAATCGAGACATATTTGCATGGGTACATGAAGACATGCCGGGTATAGACCCCACTATCATGGAGCACCGCCTAAATGTAAATCCTGACTTCAAACCTGTCCGACAAAAGAGGAGGACTTTTGCTCCAGAAAGGAATCAGGCTATATCAGAAGAGGTGGAAAAGCTCTTAAAAGCCGACTTTATTCAAGAGGTGTACTATCCTGACTGGTTGGCAAATGTGGTCCTAGTGAAGATGGCAAATGGAAAGTGGAGGCTATGTGTGGATTTCATCGACCTTAACAAGGCTTGCCCGAAGGATAGCTTTCCTCTCCCAAGAATCGATATGCTCGTTGAGGGAACGGTTGGACACGAACTATTAAGTTTCATGGATGCATATTCTGGATACAACCAGATATCTATATACACCTCAGATAGAGAAAAAATGGCCTTCATCACTGATAGAGGTTTGTACTGTTACAAAGTAATGCCATTTAGGCTCAAGAACGCTGGTGCAACATACCAGAGGCTAGTGAATGCAATGTTTAAGCGTCAAATTGGTAGAAACATGGAGGTATATGTTGATGGCATGTTGGTGAAAAGCTTAAAAGCTTAAGACCATTTGACTGACCTGCAGGAGACCTTTGAGGTACGTAAGCATAAGATGAAACTCAACCCCAGCAAGTGTGCCTTTGGGGTTTCCTCAGGAAAGTTATTGGGATATATGGTAAGCAGAAGAGGAATTGAGGCCAATCCAGAGAAGATCCGAGCAGTCATTGACATGAGATCGCCAAGATCAACCAAGGATCTACAATGACTAACAGGGAAGATTGCTGCCTTGAGTAGGCTAATCTCTCAGTCAACTGACAGGTGTCTACCTTTCTTTCGTGTGCTAAGGAAGGCTTTTGAATGGACCCCAGAGTGTGAGCAGGCATTCAAAGAACTAAAGCAATACCTTAGTTCTCCCCTACTACTGTCTCGAACCATACCGGGAGAGGAACTATACATATACCTTGCAGTATCCACGACAGCTATCAGTTCAGCTCTGATACGAGAAGAAGAAGAGGTCCAAAGGCCAGTATACTTCGTGAGCAAAGCACTTAGGGGTGCGGAGGAAAGATATCCAAGGATGGAACAGTTGGCTTTTGCTTTAATTGTATCCGCCAGGAAACTGAGACCATACTTTCAAGCGCATACGATTGTGGTCCTAACAGATCAACCCCTTCGACAGGTCCTACACAAGCCAGAAAGCTCTGGTCGACTGATGAAGTGGTCAGTAGAGTTAGGGGACTTCGACATTCAGTATAAGCCAAGAACAGCAGTAAAGGCTCAGGTGTTGGCTGATTTCTTAGCTGAGTTTACCCCTCCAGAAGAGGAGAAACAACCCTAATTTTTGACAGAACCAGGTTTAAGTGAGCAGATGGGCTCAGAAGTAGTCTGGGACTTGTTCGTGGATGGGTCATCTAATGTTCAGGCTAGCGGAGCGGAGCTTGTTCTTGTCTCCCCAGAGGGAGAAAGTATACAGTACGCACTTCGGTTTGGTTTCAAAACAACCAACAACGAAGCAGAGTACGAAGCCTTGATAGCAGGATTAAAAGTGGCAAATGCCCTAGGGGTTGAGCAATTAAAGGTGTACACCGACTCCCAGCTAGTCGCTGGACAAGTTCAAGCGGAATATGAGGCACGAGACGAGAAGATGAAGAGTTACCTACAAAAGGTGAAGGAATTAAAAAATCACTTCCAAAGATTCTCAATTCATCAAATACCACGAGAAGAGAATGGGAAAGCAGACGCTTTAGCCCGGCTAGCTACTGCATTAGAACCTGAGATCAATAAGAATATACCACTGGAATATTTGGACGAACCATCTATATCTCAGGAGAGACAAATTGAAGTGCAACAAGCGATATTGAGTATGGAATGGGCAGATCCTATCATCAGATATATCAAGGATGGAGTGCCACCAACAGACCGAGCAGAAGCTCGAAAGGTCAAGATGCGGGCAGCTAGGTATATGCTTATCAAAGGGGTGCTCTACAAGAGAAGCTTCTCCATGCCGTATTTACGATGCGTTTCTAGCGAGGAAGTTGACTACATTTTAAGGGAAATCCACCTAGGAGTTTGTGGAAACCATGCTGGGGGTAGGTCACTTGCTAACAAGGCCATCCGACAAGGATACTATTGGCCCACCATGCAGAAAGATGCACTTGACTTCGTTAAAAAGTACGACAAATGTCAACGATTTGCCAACATCCCGAGACAACCGTCAGAGGAGATGACTCCCATGTCAGGACCATGGCCATTTGCTCAATGGAGAATGGACTTGATTGGCCCTCTCGTCAAAGGCAAAGGGCAGACTAAGTATGCCATTGTTACGGTTGATTACTTCACTAAATGGGTAGAAGCTAAGCCTCTGGCCAAAATCACAGAGAACAATATAAGGAAGTTCGTATGGAAATCAATAATTTGCAGATTTGGGATTCCTAGAGAGTGATTGTCACAGACAATGCAAAACAGTTCGATAACTCTGACTTCAAAAAATTTTGTTCCGAGCTCGGGATTCAAATTCATTTCTCATCGCCAGGACATCCCCAGGCGAATGGACAGGCCGAAGTCACTAACAGAACAATCCTTCAGATGATCAAGACTCGACTTGATGCTGCAAAGGGACTGTGGCCTGAGCAGCTGCCGAGTATACTGTGGGCTTACCGTACTACTGCAAGGACTCCTACAGGGGAAACCCCTTTTCTTTTAGCGTTTGGAAGTGAGGCCGTAGTACCTGTAGAGATTGGCCTAACAAGTTTTAGGACGGAGCACTACGAGCCCAAGCAGAACGAAAGGGAGTTGGAAATAAGCTTGGACCTAATCGAAGAAATGAGAGACCTAGCCCAGATTAGGATGGCTGCCTATCAACAGAAGGTTTCCAAGTATTACAATACTCGGGTCAAGCCTAGGAGGTTCTCAGTAGGAGATTTAGTACTCTGCAAAGTTACTCAGGCAACTAAGGATTTAACCATAAGGAAATTAGGTCCCAAATGGGAAGGACCGTACAAAGTTACGCGATGTCAACGACCAGGAACATACTGGTTGGAGGACTTAAAGGGAAAGCCACTGCCTCACCCATGGAATGTTGAGCATCTAAAGAAATATTATCAAGCGAGCTGGGTGAAGCTCATAATAATCTCATTTCCTTGTTAAAGGGCGAGCTGGGTGAAGCTCATAATAATCTCCTTTCCTTGTTAAAGGGCGAGCTGGGTGAAGCTCATAGTAATCTACTTCCCTTGTTAAAGGGTGAGCTGGGTGAAACTCATAGTAATCTACTTCCCTTGTCAAAGGGTGAGCTGGGTGAAACTCATAATAATCTACTTCCCTTGTTAAAGGGTGAGCTGAGTGAAGCTCGTATACATCTACTTCCCCTGTTAAAGGGTGAGCTGAGTGAAGCTCGTATACATCTACTTCCCTTGTTAAAGGGTGAGCTGAGTGAAGCCCGTATTCATCTACTTACCTTATTACGAGCTGCGTGAAAGTCGTCTTAATCTACTTTCCTTATTAAAAGGACGAGCCAACTAAAGATGTCAATAAAATCAAATATAAAATAACGGCAGCAGGGCAGCCTGCCAAACAAAGGCAGCATGCCAGCAGGACAGCTTGCCAAATAAAGGCAGCATGACAGCTTGCCAAATAAAGGCAGTATGTCAGCAGGGCAGCTTGCCAAATAACGGCAGCATGCTGGCAGGGCAGCTTGCCAAATAACGGCAGCATGCTAGCATAACAGCTTGCCAAATAAAGGCAGCATGCCAGCAGGGCAGCTTGCCAAATAAAAGCAACATGCCTGCCAAATAAAGGCAGCATGCCAGCAGGGCAACTTTCCAAATAACGGCAGCATGCTAGCATAACAGCTTGCCAAATAAAGGCAGCAGGGCAGCTTGCCAAATAAAAGCAGCATGTCTACCAAATAAAGGTAGCATGCCAGCAGGGCAGCTTGCCAAATAACGACAGCATACCAGCATGACAGCTTGCCAAATAAAGGCAGCATGTCAGCAGGGCAGCTTGCCAAATAACGGCAACATGCTAGCATAACAGCTTGCCAAATAAAGGCAGCATGCCAGCAGGGCAGCTTGCCAAATAAAAGCAGCATGCCTACCAAATAAAGGCAGCATGCCAGCAGGACAGCTTGCCAAATAACGGCAGCATGCTAGCATAACAGCTTGTCAAATAAAGGCAACAGGGCAGCTTGCCAAATAAAAGCAGCATGTCTGCCAAATAAAGGCAACATGCCAGCAGGGCAACTTGCCAAATAACGACAGCATACCAGCATGACAACTTGCCAAATAAAGGCAGCATGTCAGCAGGGCAACTTGCCAAATAACGGCAGCATGCTAGCATAACAGCTTGCCAAATAAAGGCAGCATGCCAGCAGGGCAGCTTGCCAAATAAAAACAGCATGCCTGCCAAATAAAGGTAGCATGCCAGCAGGCCAACTTGCCAAATAATTGCAGCATGCCAGCAGGACAGCTTGCCACGGCA